ATGAAAAAATAAACTATTATAAAAATAAAATAGTTTTAGCCGGCTAAATTAATGTGTCATATTGCTAAATTAAACCAAAAATATTCTGTTTTGACTTGGAGATGAGTTTAGTCAGAGTTCTGAATTTGGAATTTTGAGCACGTGTAACCACACTGATCAAAGGTTAAATAATTTTTATTAAAAAAAAAGGTCAATTTATGAAAGATGAAGCCTGATTTTATTTTTGTCAATGCTAATTCTTAGACTTCGCCAAGCAACCATAAGCGTAAATAAATATTATTTTACCAAATCGCGATGAGCAATATTGTGTTCGTTGTGAATATATGTTATTCCTTCAGTTATCTGAATCGCAAGGTTTAATTTTTCTTCCCATTTAAGATTACCCTTTTTTTTTGTTAAATATCCTCTCAAATCTCCTTCATCAGCAAATTCTATAACAAGATAATATTGGTCATTATCTTCATCTAAATGTGTAACAAATATATAGCATTAATCCTAGGAAAACTTTAATGAAGTAGAAAGGAAAATAAATAAATGATAATGCCAACCTCTGCTTACTCCAAAAATTTAATTATGCGATCATTGTTAGCTCTACTGTGCAATTTCAACTATAAGACGGAATAAGCATTACATTAATTTTTACATAATAGTATCGTTTATAAATATTTCTAACCTCATTAAGAAATCTTTTAATACTCATTCCACTATCTTCATCTCCAACTGATACTCCTTTTAATGCTATTACTTCTGGAATTGATGGAATCGATTCACAAATAACAGAATATATGTCACCAAAGCCATCTCTTCCTATTTTTTTTTTCTTTCTACTGAAACTCTCAAAAGGTATATTTTTAAGCTCATAGTCGTCAATAGCAGTCTGAAACCAATCGTCGTTAGTACTCATTTTTTGAAAATGGTCTAATAAGTTTTGAGCTGAATGAATTCTGCATAATTGCTTGCGATAATTTACTTATGGCATTATGGTGGTACACAGAACAATCTGCATTACTGCATTATGTGTTACCTATTAATTTCCCAAAGTTTCTATTGGATTATTTAAATGTAGAAATGAGTACAGTAGTACAAAAACGGTAATCTTGATAAATAATAATTTTTATTTTAATTTTATAAATCTATATAATTTAAAATTTTTTGTTAAATTTACATTTGTTAAGAAATATTCATTAAAACTTAAAAAAATGTGGTTACAGATTTTTAAATATTCTTTTAATAACCATTAGAAAATGATTAACTCTAAGTGATTACAGCAAAAAATACAATTCCTGATCAGTATTAGACGATGATCCATATAACCTCTATGACTTATCATAGTCATTTGGTCATGACAAAAGTTGATATGACTATATGACTTTAATATAATAAATAGTTATTGGATTTTTTGCAATTTATTATGAATATTTAAAATATATTAGCATCTCGATACATAATATAAATAGGCACCAAGCAAATACCAAAGAACTTCCAACCTATAAAGACATTAAGAATGTTCAGTTTATAAGAATGACCTATTCGTAAAGTATAATACTGGCAAACTCATGATGTTCTAAGGTAATCCGTTACATTTTTAAATGTTAGCTGGTTGTAAACCGTCGCGGAATTTTCACCATACTTACCAAACTGAAGTGAAAAAATAAAATTAAATAGGAATATCATGAACCGAATAGTTTATTTTAAACACATAAATTGATAGAAAAAAATTAATAGTATTCATGGACTTAATTAGCTTACTCTAAGTATTTAGATCAACAAATTTTCATCATACTCACCTAATTTAACGCGGACAAAATGAAATACTGAAACTTGCAAATTTGCAAATTTAATGCTACCTGTAATTAGAGATGGGCACGCGCGGGTTTTTAATATGATCCCAAAATAAAACTATCTGGCCGGCATTAGCATATCATCTGGCAGCATTAACTTAATATCTGGC